TGCAGATAGAACCAGAGGCAGGACAAGGAACAAGTGGTCTCCTGCAGGGCCAAGAAAAGTTGCACCAGGAAGGAAAGGCAGCTTTACACACTCTAGGAAACACCAGGGAGGCTCTGAGGGAAGCCATGGAGAGAGAGCTGCAGGAGCAGAAAGAGCTCAGAGAAAACTTCAGAGCTTTCTTCAGGTCAGTGTAAAGATAACATCGGCCCTTTTATTTATGAGTATTCATACAAATGAATGTTTGTGTTTTCCCTATTGGTCAGGTTCTCTCTTGGAGAGGTAGATAGATTATACAAATAAATGAATGTATTTATTTAGAACAAGCTCCTACTGCATAATATGAAACTTGTTTTTGTACATTTGGTTTCACATGATTTGCACACTTTAGATGGAGTTTCAGATAGTAATCAAAAGGTCAGACACCAGACTGTTCCTCCCAAAGCACATTTCCCACAAATAATAATTTTACTATCCTGCATTGTTGTTTCACATTTTGAACTCACAAAAGAAACTCAGCCATCAAAGGTCAAAGGTCAAACCCCAGTGTTTTTAACTGCTAGTCGTTTCTCCCTATGTTTCAGTTGTTTATGTTCATCCCAGTTGACACTTTCTGAAGATGACCGTCTCAGGATGAAACTGGAGTTTCAGAAGTGTCTGTCTGTGATGGACCACAGCCTGGTGCTGCCCCACGCCGTCTCTAGGAACAAACTGCACACCGCTCTGGCAGCTCAGAGAATGGAAAGCTGTTTGAATGACCAGTCAAATTAAATTATAAAAAATTGTCATATAGTTTTTGGAATTACATTTTCAGCTGACCTATGTATTGTAAAATGTAGAAGAAGAAAAAACAATAATTTTCACCATGCACATTATTTAGTTTGTTTTTTGTTTAGCTTAAGAGCTAAATGACATGATTAAAAATGTTCCCTTGTATTCTTCCTTTATTCAGGGAATGACGTTTCTATACCCACATCTGTCTTATTCTGATGATGTAAATACTGTTTTGTTTAAAAATGATTCTGAGGATCATTTAAAGGACGAAGCCCATGTGCATCAAGCAACAGCAGCAGATTGAGTTAATGGTGCACTTCAATGCTTTTTATGTGAAAAGAACTGGAGCTACCACAAGATCAAACCACACCAACAACACAGTGTTGGCTGAGAGGTGAGCTGGAATGTCACCTCAGGAGTAAAGAGGAATTTTGTGGCTCCACAGAGGCCAATAAATGTTACAGTGTTGAAACTCTCTGGTGTTTTTAGGTTGAAAGAAATGACTGCCAACAATCAAGCCATAGAATATTTGAAAGAACAAATGGAGCTCAGGAGACTTTATGCAAACCAGGTCTGTGATATTTGCAGTTCTATATTTAATCTAACGGTAAAACCAGGGTAAGAAGAACACTGTACTGAAGGTAGCTCTGTGTCATGCTCTTCATCACAGGATCTGGATTTTGCGTCTCAGCTGGTGAAGCAGAGTCAAGTCTCTCCTGAAGTTCTCCTGGAGGACCTGCGACTCCTCCTCCCCACCCTGCCTGAAAGTGAACTCCTCTCCATCACAGACGCCCTCTGCCCCAAACAGCACCCCGTCTCTGCATCTGCACAGCTAGAACACACAGGGTAAGAACCAGGTTTACTTCATTATTACACGTCTTTATTACCAATGGAGGTGACATGGGACAGATACTAACGTTAGCACAAAGACACACAGGGTATTTCATATTGAGATGTATTTGTTCTGCCTGTTTGACATTTAACAAGTTCAATGCTACATCATTAGAAAGAGTAGATAGAATATCTTCAGAGAAATAGACTCGTAGTTCATTGGCCGATTAAAGTCTGTGAAGTGACGACACGTCATTTGTTGCCTACAGATTTCTTCTGCAACCATTCCTGTCCTTTGGTTGCCATTAGTGGCAGACATGTTTAACATTTAGAAAAAAAAGCAAACACAAAAAGATGCACCTCAAAATAAATGAATCTGTAATATTTGAAGCATTTGTGGTTGGGTAAGATGAATAACATGAAGGTGGATGATCAAGTAACCACTAGTCCTTTCCACATGGCTGTTCTGAAACAGCACCACCTTCATGAATACTTTTCTACTTACACATTGTATCTGCAACGGTGTTATATATGTGTCCCAGTGTGTGGTTTTAACACCAACCCCTCCATATGTTACACAATGCAGAAGAGGCATAAATATCCTGCCTGGATCCGGCAATATGTAAGCACCAACAGACTTGTTGGATTAATCTGTGAAAAACATGACAGCAGCTGAGGATGGACACGTTACCCCAATACACTTTATCACTCAATTTAAAGTTGTTGTTTTCCAAAATCAGTGTGTCCCTGTGTTGCTGCAGTCTGCACCAACCAAACATTAAATCTGTAAGAGAATGCAGGAGAGGCCTCGGACCCCCAGGCTTTTAAACCAGCTACAAGTGATCTGTAGGTTTAGAGGAGTACATTTGCTTGACCTCATGAAGAGTTAAAATTCAATCTCTCTATTTATAGGATAGATATTTGTGACTTTGAATGACGTTATGTCTAAGTACCTGATCTAAGGGTCTTCATACATGATGTGATGCAAAGATAATGATGATTGGGCTTCAGAGAGACCTATGATGAAATCTGCTATATTGAAAAACTAACAACTTCAACCAGTTTTCACTTGCTAGCCTCATTTGGGGGCAACAGTAGCTCATTCTGTAGGGACTTGGGTTGGGAAATGGAGGGTCATCGGTTCAAGTCCTGGTTAGGACCAAATTATGGAAGTTGGTCTGGTAGCTGGAGAGGTGCCAGGGCACTTCCAGGGTACTTAAGCAAGGCAGCGAACCCCCAACAGCTCTGGCATGCTCCTTGTGCAGCAGTGTGTAGCAGCCCCACTATCGCTCCACCAATGCATACCCGCACGTCCTGTTTGTGCTTGTTTGTATTATGGACCTATGTGTAATAACAGAGCGTAAACAAGAATTCCCCACAGGGATTAATAGTATGTAAAATAAAATAAACACAAGTTCAATTTAAAGTGTGTCCTTTAAAATGTCAGGTCATTTAGCATGTGGGGTTAATATGATCTTTTTTTCATAGTATTCGTACATACAGAAAAGCGAAGTAAATGTTTTCATAAAGAAACACATTAAAATGCAGTGCAGCACATTTGACTGCTGAGAACAAGGTCTATGTAATTAAAGTTTTGCTACACTTTTTTGCTCTAACAAAAAACTGAGTAGCTGTTTCATATCGGGTACAAGTTTCATACTGAGAAACAGACAACGGACAATAAGTGATGGGGTTGTAGCAGATTGTAGGGCCCTCTGGGATAAAAACTGACAAACATGACTTACCTATTTGGACACAGAGAAAAACCTCTGCGTCAAATTAGTTTTGTCATTTTGTTGTTACAACCTGCAAAGTACTTCTTTTTTAATTATCAAAACCGCTGAACACTCTAGTAATTAAATTCATCTTAGTCAGCTTGTATAATAAAAGCAACTTTATTTCATTTTGCATGTGTCTGATGGAATTTCATTTCCCAACAGCACAGCAAGTAAACCAGCTGCATTGACACAATGTACACATTCATCCAATATTAACAATCTGATTTCTGTGTTCACTCCATCTTGTTTTCCCATTTATTCACTTTTCCTTCACAATAAGGGATAAACAAAACACATCATCATATTAGCACCTACTACTTTGAGGCTCCAGCGCTATGGTTCTGGATCAAATCGTTCACATAAACAATTTTAAGCTAAAGATTTACTAATGTAGTTAGTGTACATTTAGGAATATTGCACAGATCATGTTAATTTTATTTACACTTAAGTAAACAGATCAACACTTAAAGCCACTAAGTCTAGAATTAAAAATGTCAGACTTTGGCGCCCATAGTGGCGGTAAAAGATACTGAAGCCCTACACTAGGTCTAAAAGTCAATAACATACGATTGATATGTATTATGTATTACTTTAACGAGGTTATCAGTGAATAACATACTAATGTAGAAATGCACTGTTGTAGTTGTGATAGTTACAAACTGAGCAGTGATTCCAAAAAACATTCAAACATACTGACTACTACTTATTAGCACAAATTAGCACATATTTGGAACTGCAGAACACATATAAGGTATCCAGTGAAAAGTCAAAATTTTCCATCAAAATTTTCCATCCTCTATCCGTATATTGGCCTGACCCGACGTCACAGGATAATAGGTGAAAACAAACGTACCAACTTTGTACCAATTGTGTCCATGATTGTCCCATTTTTGCTACATTCAAAAAACAATGCTATCATAATAATGAGAATTAGCAATAACACCTTTAACAAATTCTACACATAGTGGCTTTGAACACATTTTTTGGGTGTGTGTGTGTGTGTGTGTGTGTGTGTGTGTGTGTGTGTGTGTGTGTGTGTGTGTGATGTAGCACGATGCGCAACAGCAGGTTAAGACAGAGCAACACAGTCACATTAACAGGCCTGGTTATTGTGTGGGAAACCATCTAGGTGGCCTCCATGTTGACCTCATCAGAGATAAAAACTCTCGGTGGGTTCTTCAGCTGCCACTCTTGCCTGCTGGTTTCCCCTTGTAAACAGAATAATCCTCGTAACATTACACATGTCTCTCTCACACTGCGGCCTTCTCATAACCTCCTCATGTTTTTCATGTATGACAGAAGATCAAAGCATGCACACAGAAATGGCCTAATTTACGATTTTCCACACTTACATTATTATAAATTTAAAATAGGCTTCCCTGTATCAAGTTTTTTCTCTTACTTTTTATCCAGTTATCTGTGGCATTAAAAACAATCCAGTGAGATGCTTGGGGGGCTGCTCACTCATTTTACAGCTGTTTTGCATTAACATTCATACATATATTAGTCTCAGCTTGTTAAATCTCCCTTATTCTCAAGATAAATACTTGTAATAAATAAATGTAAATTGTATTATGATACCACGTTGGTATGCATACCTCATCATACAGAATCGGGGGGGGGGGGGGGGGGGAATCACGTAAAGGAACAGTAAACCCCTGTGATTAGTGGGAAGGAGCTGAGGATACATGTATACAATCATTGTAAACCAGAAAAGTTAATGGTATTAATGTACAAGACTTGGTAGGCTTCAAAAATCAGACGAAGCTACAGTGACTTAGTAACTAATAGGTAGGTGGATGGTTTTTACTACTGTCCATATATTCACAGCTTTTAAATTTTCATTACGATGCCGTTTAAGCTACAAATATTGGCTAGTATGAGTCATTCCGCTATACAAAAGGCCTCAGAAACTTAACAATGAACGTAATCTTCACAACCCCTAGAAAACACCTCATACTGTACATATATATATATAAAGGGCTTGCCTCTAATGACATTTACTCCAACTGAGTCCTCCCTGCAATTCTTCATCCATGCACTCAGAGATACAGTACCTCCTGTGTTCCTGTCCACCTCTTAAAACCAAGCTGGTTTTGCAAACTTCCTGCTTGCTGACAACTGGTTTTCTCAAGTCACACACCACAAGGCCTTGGTTCCTCTTCGTTACATGTTCTGTCCTTTAGGCCACTGAATTAAGCACATAATGCAACACTTAACTATTTGAGATCATTCACGTGAAATCGTAATGGGTTTTTACAGCATATACAACTACTTTCCTGCATGTGCTATAGTTTTATACTTATTGATTCAAGCTCAACAGGTTTGTGTTGAACCTGATGAGAAGCCCCTTATCCCATATGACATCAAAAACATTTTGTCGGTCAGTTGACAACTGTATCATTTTTTAAATCAAAGTTTAGTTCAGGATGTCAGTCTAGCATGCTGATTTGTCTTCCCGCCCTCTTCCTCTTCTATTAGATGAGACAGTCCACAATGAAATTCCTTCATCTCATTCACCCCTCGGGCATTCTTCAAGCCATTAAGGCCATTTTGACCAGTAATCCCTCGAGCATACAAATAAGGCTGAGTCTTCTCCACTCAGTTAACTAGTGGAGTGAAACTTAACAGTTATCGGCAATCCAATATGTTTCCAAAGGTCACACATCATCGTCATCATCATTGTTTTGCCTCAGCCTCCTCTCATGACTCTGTCCTCCCTGACTCCCTCTCTGAGGAAGTCGGCCGATTGGATCCTGACAAAGCACGTACAGTTTCCAGATTTTCCGGAACGCAGTGCGGAATTTCTTGATACGGAATGCATACACGATGGGGTTGACGGCTGAGTTTCCGTGGGAGAGGATGATGGCAATGTATATCAGAAAGATTGGCTTGTCACAGGCGGGGCAAAAGAGGGTGATGCAGTTGAGGATGTGGAGGGGGAGCCAGCTGACTGCGAAGAGGAAAAGAACGAGGGCCAGAGACTTGGCAAGCTTGAGTTCCTTGCCGTAGTAACGGCTGGGGTCTGTGTGGCTCGCTGTCACCTGCCAGAGAATTAAAGGAGAACATCATCAGCGTATAGCTTTAGTCTGATTAGTTGACATCAGGGTTGCGAAACAGTTGTCTGTGTGATTGCGCCATTTTTAATCATGTAATCGGATTTGTCCTACATAAGAAGAGGAAGTCCTCACCTTCTTGTTGAGCTGCTTGTGGATCATGTAGAAAATCTCTACATAGATGGCGAGCATGAGGAGCAGAGGAGGCAGCACCCAGCCAAAGAAGTTGAAGTAGACCATGTAATCCATGCTGATGACCGTCTCAAACTGACAGGTCACCAAAAGGTCTCCAGTGTTATTGGTGCCGTTGTTACGAAGATGCTTCAGGTTATTCCAGCCCAACATGGGCATGAGGCCCACCACAATGGAAACCAGCCAACACAATAATACAGCCGTGCCAGCTCGCCGCGGGGTCACCACCCGCTTATAGCTATGGCAACAAAGGGGGAAAAAAAGTGATGAGTCTCAGCGGACAAACAGACAGAGTTGACAATGTGTATACAATGTTTTATTTTTCCATGATACCGTTTTAGCTAAATTAATGTCATTCAAATCAGAATGTGATTTTACTTCAAGCGCATACATTTTTAGTATTCGGAATACAATTTGGTTGTGATAATAATAGTCACAGGCAAAATATCATAAACATCTACTTTTTAATATAACCGAACCCAACATCTGAGTGGTTAAAAGGTTGTACAACAAAAGTGAAACTTAGCATAGTGTAATAGAATGTACTGCATATAAATAAAAGTGTATGTATCCTTGTGGTTTCAAAAGTGAAGCCAGTGTTGAAGTGCCTATGATATGAATTATTTCAATGGCCAAAATGGGTTGACTCAACTGATTTGAAGTATGATGAAGTATTTCTGTATTGTTAAACATATTTGGACTGCTGACGGCGTAACTGAATCTTAATTCTTTGATTCCCCAAACCCACATTCTGTCAAATGGCCAACAGGAAGCCACAACACTGGGAGTAAAAAGAAATGAGATTATCTCAAAATCTATCAGAAAATATTCGACTTCTTAGCTCTCTGAAATAAGATAAGATAGTCCTTTATAGATCCCCAGTGGGGAAATACCTCAGTAAATATTTTTAATAAGAACTTTAATGGTCTTAATTGCTGGTTTAAACTCTTCTTTTATACAGTGTTATCTTTTTTTTTTTTTTTCAATTATGATCCCGTTCAGAGTAACATTGCTGTTAAAGCAGGGTATCATTTAGAATAATGACTGCTGTGTTTAACAAGTCTCCACCACAGTGACCTGTCACTCAGGATAGAGACATAGCAAAGCCATCCACCTGCACGAACCCTTCTGGTCTTTGAACAACAAGATGGTGATGGCAAAAAGGGGGGTTCACAAGTCGTTGTGTCTTTTTTAAGTAGACTGAAGGTGTTGGAGGAACGATTTTCTGCTCTGTGCTCTTTGCTGTATGTCTACAACTTTGTTAAAATGTGCTGCTTCCTGTCTTGGGGATTTGGAATTGCAGCAGGACACAAGGCATAGTTGTTGTCAAATCTCACATTTTCTGAGAATCACAATAGACACATTTAAGACATATTTGTCATTCAGAACAGGAAATTAGTCGCAGTCTTTGCACAACATGACTATGTGCAATCCACGCATGTCTCGTCCTGTTTCTCCCACATGATGGTCTGTGATTGGACAGGTCCATGAATGAGTCATGGCTCCCTCTCTTGCACACTTGTAGACTTACACTGCCAAAAAAATACTTTCTGGATACCACTTTCTTCCATCAATCTCTAACTTTAATGGGATTTTGATCCTCATCTCAAAGCTGAAACTCCTATCCTTCACTTGAGCACACTTGCAATACTTTACATTCTCAAATCTGAGCTACACAAACATTATCCTGACAGTGTGCTTCTGCTACAAAAAGCAATCAGTGGCTGTTAAACGGTGTCCCTCAAGAGCATTGGTTTCCAACCTGGGGTCTGGGGCCCCTCGGGAGGGTGGGATGAGATCTCAGGGGGGACGTGAGGCTCTGCCTGCTCCGAGGTTGTCAAAATTAGATTTGCTCATATGAAGATTTTTACTTTTAAACATTACTTTGAAATGGTTACATTTACAAATGTCTTTTAGTAAGAACAAGTGTGTGGTCGTATTCTGGTAGAATTTTATTGATGAAAACTAATTAAATGTATGTCAATTTTTGAAAGCAATGTATCACTTATTTTGTGTGGATCCTGGGGGGGAGGCTCAGCTTTTCTTACTAGTGGGGGGTTGGAAACCATTGCACTAGAATCCCTGCAGAGGTTTAGGGGAGTCGGGACACAATTTCACAGTAAAACACTTGTGCTTAAAATCTAAAAATGTCCAGATTGAGAGTGAACGACAAAAACTGATCAGCAATAAGAAGGTATTACATTTTTATGTTTTGAAGGTAACCACTGCATTTTGAAAGGGCAGATCATCCTGCCACACAGAGATACATAAATAAGATAAGATAAGATATGTTTATTGTCATTGTACAAGTACAACGAAATATTGTTGGAGCAAGTCTGTAGATGCCTAATATCAGAAATATACAAATACTAAAACCAAATATTCAAATAAGAAATACAATTAAATAATACGATATAGTATACAATATACAATTAGATTATACTTTTGCAATCATAATGAGATAATAGCACATAAATGTTCCTCTGTTTATTGCAGCCTGTGTTAATTGTCCTCTGTGTGACAGAGTGTGGTGTGTATGAGTGCATGTCTATGCTGTTCTCCAGCTTGAAAAATTATGCAATCCATCAAGCAGCCACCATGAGCCCATTGACCAATCATGCATTCTCTACCCGACTTGTTCCAGGGTTTTTGTTAAATGAACCAACTTAAAGTGATAACTTGAGCTTTCAGTGTAATAACAGTGAGGGAAGAAGAGAAGAGGATGATAAGCTTTATGAGTGTGAACATCATACTACAGTGCCATTGTCATTTTACCATTGAGTTAGTTAAAGGAATAAGGTCAGAAAAGTGCAACATTTATGACCTCCACTTGTTTCTTGTGCAGTTTTAGCTCAGGCTGCAAAAACAGCTCCAAAAATCTGTGAAATTCAGTATTTTTAAAATGTAGAATGAGGCTTAGGCTTTGTTTGGACCTGCATGTAATATAAATACATTGCATAATGTATGGAGCAATGTGTATGTAATATCTATGACTAGATATAATCCAGATTTAGAGAGAATCACTAAATTAAAGCACTCTAGAGTCATATTTTTCTGAATATTGTGGAGCTAAATAAGAGAACATTTCCCCCTATTGTACATCTTTTGATGGGGTTATGGGATGTTTTCAAGTTTAGGGGCTCTCTTGTGCACCTTGCAAAAGAAGGTAATTATTAGCCATAATCTTAAAAAACATGTGTCTCTGGCAGGCTAATTTCCAGGAGAGATATTAGAGATGTCAAAGCAGATAAATGTAGCCTTCATTAGTAAGAATAAACTGTCAGAGTAAAATGATGAGACACACATTTACATAGGCTACCAAAGTCAAAATAAAAACCATTTACGACACTGCAGCCAGCGCTACAGCCCTTCGTCCGAGCTGTGCTGGAACAAAGGCTGCTCTCAATCAGACACGATTAGAAAGTAGAAGAATTCACCTTTGTGCTTACCTCATGGGGATTTTGACTCGAAGATAGCGGTCAATGGCGATGGCCAACAGCGCCAGGATTGAACTTTGTGTGAGGACGAGTACCGTGCAGGCAACCAGCAAACAACTGTAAAAGTGAGTCTTGAGTCCGATGCTGATGGTTATGGCGAGCGGGATGACCAGAGCCCCGACCGCAATGTCAGCCAAGGCCAGGGAGACGATGAAACAAAACGTGGTATCTCTCAGAGACCGGTTCATACGCACAGCCAGGACCACCATCACGTTCCCGATGACCGACGACACGGCGATCACCACCTCCATCCCGATGTAGAGGGCTTTAGAGGGGGGCAGACTCGCAGACATGTTCGCGGATGCCCGGAGGAGGTGGAGGAGGAGGAGTGCGCGCTCAGCGGAGAAACAACCTGGACACGGAGAGGAGGTTCACTGTTAGGAGTTTTCGAAACACTCCGACTTGTGTTTCGCATGTTTTATGTCCCCACAGAGGCAGAGGTAGAGCCTGATGCTCTGAAATATTGTAGGAACCGGTTTCAGGACATGGAGCTGCGCACCAGACGCAGGACTTGAACTCCATACGTGGTCCCGAGGCGCTGATTCCGAGAATGAAGTGGCCCCCGCAGTCCTGCTGGAACAGGGCGGACCTGGGACACTAAATGAGTCACGAGCCGGCTCCCAAAACGCGGATTAACAGAGCTGCTTTCCCTTAGTCCCAGGGACTACTTGTCCATAAAGTGTCATTTATTGCTCAAACGGAATCGTCCTCATTGATGCCCAATCTATCACCAGGGACAAGTCCCCTTTATTTGGACATGGTTTAGTTTGTCCAAAACAGGCAAATGTGTATTCCCTTCTTGGTGTTTTTTGTACAATTATCCCATTTTAGATATGGCTTCAGGCAAGCATGGAGTTCAGATTCTTTTGAACATTTCCTTTTCCTCATCCACTGAAAGCTCGCCCTCTGTGGGAGTGGATACACTATTACTGTATCATATGAAAGGTGCATTAAAAAGCCAGCCAAGCTGACTTACTGCAATGGGAAATTAAACCAAACGTGCCACATGTTGTCACTTTTAGACCTGTATTTAGCGGATTACAATTCATATTTGGATGACAAAGCTCCCACAAATATGAATAAAAAGGGACAACTGCACATACTGTACATGAATTTTTTTTAGGCTGAAATAAAAGGTTGGTGAAATGTTTTTCCTGTGAGGCTTTCACTTTCTGGATGGACATAATGAGACTGAATGAAGACAAACAGTCTCCTGCTTTGTGTTGGAAGGAGACAGTGACACAATACTGGACGACATCAGGTTGGTATCAGTGAAAAACAGCTCGACAGATGTGCACCAACAACCCCATATAGATGCAAATGAGACATGTAAAGAAGTTTGAAAAGGCGTGTGATTGCGTGCACATAGTGCTGTGCACATGAGTACATTTGCATTCTGTCTGTTAGCATTTGATTGATGCTTTGGACAAATGAATCCTGTTAGAGTGGTGAAAACAACAGTCAACAACCTGTTAGGCAACATCATGGCCTCTCTTTTGACCTTGACTACAGTGAAGGTCTTTCCCCTGATGATGATTAATGTCTCTCTGCCTACAAAATCATTTCATTTGAAAGAGTGTAAACCAGGGACACTAGGGACTCCTGAAATCTTCCGGTTGTGTTATGTAAAAATGTAAAATCTTGTTAAAGGTGTGCCATTTTACCCATTTTAAAAATGGTCCCATTTTACTCACTTGTCAACTCTCCCTCTATCAATTCAGCTCACACTCTTAAGAAACTATATTCATTCATAATTTACACGATGACACACAGGGAAGCAAGCGATGTTGACCTCTGACCAGACATGAAGTGTGGTAGCATGTGTGGGCCAAAACCCTGTTAAAAGTTTATTGTTGGGGAGTTGCTACTTGTTATATTCATATTGAATTAGTGTAATCTGACATATTTGTGCATTCTTAAAGATAATCAGCTGATTACTGCTCCTTTTTGTGTTTTTATTACTTTGAAACGATGGAGGGTGGAATATATCAGTGGTGATGATAACAGATTGCTAACTCCAGAAACGAGAATGCTCACGTGGTGGAGAAACAAAAAGATGCCAAACATGTAAGATCATGAGGATTGTGGGTCCCTTCTTATTGACTGTTTACATAACCTTTGGGAAAATCCTGCGAAGGCAAGGCATAGACTTTTAATATTACACTGATGACACTCAACTCTATACAGCACTTAAACCTGAGACTTCAGATCTTTCATATAGCATGTCCTATCTGGCAGAAATGTAAAAAATGGATGTGAAATGACTGAAGAAGTCAGGCTCTCGAGTAGACAGAGCTATTATTATTATAATTAATGTTATTTAAGCATTTGTTTTTTCATTACAAGAAAAGAGTTGTGCATGAGTGGACATTTAGTAAAATGCCTTTGATTTATATATCTTTCATGATTGAATCTATTATTAGATGTTGAATTATAAGTTATTGATGGAAAATAAAAGTAAAGCTGACTTGGGATAACCTACTGCATAGAAATATAATATTACACAATGCTCATGCTCTCATTAATAATTGTCATTCCTCTTTAATATGCATTTAAAATAATAGTATATATCTATATTCAAATAGATACACGGTCTGATGTGTAGCTGCTCTTAAGATAGTGACCATGTTAAACAACCGTGAACAGATATCAGGTTGGGCAACTTTGCAGTCTTTTTAATAAAATCTTAAAAAATCAGAGGGGGCGCCGGTAGCCTAGTGGTTGGTGTGCACGCCCCTGAAGTCCTTGTGGCCAAGGTTCAGGTCCGACGTGGAGCTCCTTTCCCACATGTCGTTCCCCCACTCTCGCTCGCCCTGAGTTCTGGCTCTGTCCACTGTCCTGTCTCTTAAATGGAGGCATGGAAAGCCTCAAAATAAACCTTAGACAAATGCACAGTGATTTAAATGACATCAATTATTAACCTTTAAAATCAGGCTTATCTGACAAGTAAAACAGTATTCATTTTATTAAAGAAATCCAAGCTCTCACCATGTAAACAAGAGTGCTTCAGTCAGGTTTCAGCTGGTCTGTATCAGCGCTCTTCATCACTATGACCTTTTTATATTCTTTTTATAATGGAGCAGATAGACTGAAAACCAAACTCTGAATGTTGCTACGTCTGGATCTTTATCTTATATTAAATCTTAAACTGTGTGTGTGCGCGTGTGTGTGTGGGAGCACAAATGCTCAGTCACTACCTCTGACTTGCTCAGTCTTATCGCCGCTGTGAGAACATAATATTTATGATACAAGCCTCTTTTTGTCATAGAGGCAGCCGAACGTTTGAAATGAGTCACAGGATATAGATGTCGTCTGTAATCGCAAATTCGCTATTCCAAGGAAAAATTCTCTACTCAATGATACAAAAAATATTTCATCAGTGACTGTTGAAATACCTCTGAAGCCAGGAAGAGACGTCACGGTGGTTTGTTTTGTTATTTTTATTACATATCTACTCTCTGTCTTTGGTCTCTTTGTATTAATAATGGTTTCTGTTTTGGGCTGGCCATATTTTTTATGCATGACATCTGTCACACATCTTTCTCTAGAAGGATTTATTTTAGTTTTTTAGGCTGACCACATGTTAAGAAAAGTATTTTTCTTAAGGCAGTCAAGTTGTGCATTAAATTCAATACTATTAACATTTTGATTTAGCCCGAGAAGAAAAGTCTGACTTTGAGTGTATTTAAAGGTCCCATATTATGCTTTTTCTGGTTTTATATGCTCTTTAGTGTGTTTTCCATGTGTCCTGTGCATGTTTAGGCACATCTATTTGCAAAAATTAAAGGTCTGTGGCTTCTCCTACCTCCTCCTGTTAGCTGTAGCATTAGCTGCATGTAACACTCGGTTCTAGCCCCCCTCGATAAAAATTGCCAGTGTGACGTCTTGTCAGTGTGAGATCACTGATCTAAGCCCATTGGCTCGTTGTGGCAAGCCCAGCAGCTCATGTTGCACGCCCATTAACTTCTATAGCACGCCCACGATATGCTGTAGCCTGCGGTAGCATAGTAGTGCTAAGGTGCTAATGTTTTTGCTCTGCTCGGGAGCCAAAGTGGCTGCATTCCCAATATGGTAAAAGGGGCGGGACATTTCCTAAAACCGTGCTGAGCGACTGACCAATTACAGCAGAGCCGACAGGCCTACCAATCAGATCAGACTTGGCACACGTGGGGACTCTGAACGTGGGCACTTCAGAGTCTTAGAGAGAGTCAGAAGCGAGCCGGTACATGGAGCAGCAGTACATGAAAACAGACACCTTTTTAGAACTTTAGCTATTGTGAACATACTTTAGTAGGTACATAGATTAAATATATGAACCCCAAAAAGGGCATAATATGACCTCTTTAAATATAGTATAGTACTACACTATAAGACTGAGATCAGTGTTGTTTTACACTGCTGAAGTCCTGCTGAAGAACATTCTATATATCCCTGTGTAGGAAACCTGATCGACATCACATCCTTTTTAAACTTAGGACTGCTTAAATACACTGAAGGCACTGATCTCAGTGCCAGTATTGAAACCCAGTAGGCTCATAAACACTGAAACCTGTGGGGCAGGATTATAACCTCACTTTGTCTTTTTAACACCTATGTGCATGTGTACAGCAGAATACCTGTGCTTGAGTTTTTATATTTAATGCTACTTAGACTACATTTTAGAGGGAGACTTTGACTTTGTCATTCAATTAATTTATTAGAAAGCTAAAGTAACAATTAAAAAACAAAGCATTAAAAAAAGATTAAAGCTGAAAGATCAAACAACATGAGGGTGGCCCTCTTATATGAGCGGTTCCTAGTTCTACAAGCGACTTTGATACATCTCTATTATCCTAAAAGTGTCATTTGTTGTAGAGCCAGCAGTTACCACTAAGCAGTCCAACTTTATTTTTAGAGCACATTGAAAAACAAAAGAGTTGACCAGTGCTTTAAATCAAATAGACAAAGCAAAATGAAACAAACAAACTCTTTTACTGGGTCTAGGAACACCAAAGCATACAGATAAGCAACACCCAAGTCAGATGACAGCAGATATAGCTCTTCTGTCTTTTGCTGCTGCATATTTGCAAACTGGAACTCCTTCCACAGGTTCTGGCTGAAGTCGGCCAGAATTGACTGCACTAGCTACCTTACCATGTAGATGAGAAATGTGAACAAGCTCTGATCTCAAAACTAGGAAAGTCTTGTCAGCTAGGTGGGTGAATCAAAACTTGCTTTGAGTAGATACTGATATAGTGGGTCGTTGTTAGGCTTTGTTTGGGCTGAGCACTTAAGGTTCATTCTGTGAGCATCAACAGGAGAGGCAGTTGACACGTGTCACACCCTCTGTTGATTGCAAGCTGAATTTTCACCAAAATCCAAGCTTAAAAGAGTCTGAATCCGAAACTGAAGCGTGGCCACAGATCCCGGGCATCCCCGACTACTGCTTTGCCTATTTCCTCTGGTCATCTGCTAAACGCAACATGTACTACAAAGAAATCTCTGTCATTCATGGAAACAGGAAAAGACACATCTGTCATAGACAACG